TCGTACTTCGTATTACTAAATAAATATTTTATTACGTTCCTCCTCTCTCTCTCTCTCTCTTTCTTGTCCACGCTCTTTTTTTGTTGTTGTTGTTTTCTTTTTCTTCTTATTTCGGCTCTTGTCGCTTCTACTCCCTTGAGCGTGTGCCTGTTGTTTCTACCCCATCGGGGGCCTTTGCCGCCCTCTCTCTCCCTCTCTGCTCGCTGGAGGGAAGAAAAAGCAAGGAAGGAAGAAGGAAGAAAAGAGGGGCAAACGGGCGCCCGCGTTGGGCGGGCCTAGAGGTAGAGCGAGGACGCAAAGACAATGTCGCGCTTGATCAGCTGAATGCCCTGCAGGAACTTGTCGTGCAGCTCCAAGCTGCCAATGGCGGGAGACCGCGCCGCCCCCGCCATCTGCCGCAGCTGCTCCTCCAGGCGCCGCATCATGCGGACAATCTCCCCCTCGTAGGCGCTTGTCTTGCTCATGAGGTCCACAAACTTGGCCCCCTTGGCCCACATGTAGGTGACCTCCATCAGCGACGGCATCGTCTTCTCCACACTCATGCCCTCCTGCACAATGCCACTCTCGAGGCTCACCGTGGCGATGCGGCTGACGATCTCGTTGAGCTCCTTCAGCGGCTGCTGGAATTCCTCGGGGAGGGAAAACCCATCCGGGGTGCGGTGCACGTTCACCAGGCACGACATCAGGGCGACAATCATCTCCGTCTCCATGGAGTTCAGCACGCCCTTGAAGAGGAGCTCCGTGAGCAGAATCTCATTCTCGTCGGTGGTGGTGATCTCGCACGCCACACGCGCCTTGCGCAAAATAACGTTGTCCTTGTCAATGTAGTCCAGCCGCCGCAGCACCCGCATCATCTGCTGCAGCTCCTCTGAGAAAATGGCCCGGGAAACCTGACTGAGTTCCTCCCTAATGTCACGCAACTCCGTCTCCAGCTTGGCCCGCTGCGTAAAACGCGCAAAGGCCAACTCCAACTCTTTGGTGGGGCGCTGCACGAGCTCGTTCTCCTTCAGCTGCGCCTCCAGCCGTCCCACCTGCACCCGCAGCTTCTCAAACTGGGGGTCATCAACGCCCATCTCCTCACCCGTGAGGAGCGGCACCTCGTCGTCGTACTGCCGGTGCAGCTTCGCGAGGGTCTGCACCATCTGCGCCCGGCCAGACTCCGTGTCGGGCTCCGCCGGAAGATTCACGCGGAAGCGGGCCACCGCCTCAATGTCGGTGAAGTCAAAGCTCAGGGTGTAGAGGTCCGCCGTACTCGTGGTGAAGTCCCTCACGTGACAGGGGACGAGCGCGGTGGGCTGCGCCGCGTTGGGCTTTGCGCAGATGACCGCGACATCCACCGCGAAGGCGGAGGGGTCCTTGGCGTCGGCGTCGGCCGTCTTGGCGTGGAAGGCGCGGCAGATGCCCCAGTTGAAGAGCACCCCGTCCGCCGCACGGCGCACGCGGACGAGGCGGCCGGAGTGGGTGAATCGCCGCAGAAAGGTCGGCTGCCTGAGAATGTCGCCCAGCTGCTTGCGGCGGCCCGCGAGGAGCTCCTGGCAGAGGGTGTACTGGCGACACACCTCCTCCTGCTCGACGTGGATGGACGCAATCTCATCCGCCAGCGCCGCGGCGCGCTTTTCTAGGGCGGGGCGGTTGCGCAGCCGCTGAAACTGGGCGAAGCTGCGCCGCATCATAAACTCCGGGTCGACGTCCTCCACCCGCAGCAGGTTGAGCACCATGTTGTAGGTCAGGTGGAAGCTGCTGTTGAGCACGTCCGCCCCGCCGCCGGTGAGCTGCTTCAGCGTGTCGGGCTCGACCGCCTCGTCCACCATGGCGATGACGACGCCGACGCGGTCCAGCCCACGCCGCCCCGCGCGCCCGGACATTTGGATGTACTCCCCGCCCGTCAGGTAGCGAGTCTTCTCGCCGTCAAACTTCTTGACGGAGGTGAACACGACGGTGCGGGCCGGCATGTTTAGACCCATGGAAAAGGTCTCCGTGGAGAAGAGCACCTTCACAAGCCCGGCCTGAAAAAGGATCTCCACCACCTCCTTCAGGATGGGCAGCAGCCCGGAGTGGTGAATGCCGACGCCGCGCTTCAGCAGCGGCAGCAGGTGCTCAATCGCCGGCAGTTGTCTGTCGTCCTCCGCGAGGCACTCCATCGCGTTGCTGAAGACCTCCGTCACCAGCGCGTCCTCCTCCATGTTGTTGAAGTTCAACTTGGAGAGCGCCAGGGCGCTCCGCTCACACTCCGCCTTGGAAAAGGAGAAGACAATGATGGGGTACATGTTGCGATCCATCGCCAGCTTGATAATCTCCATGATCGGCTGCGTCCCCTTCCTGGAGGACTTCTGCTTGCCGCGAGTGAGGGCCGCGGTGGCCGGCCTGCTGGCGTCCGCGCCGGTTGCACCGCCGCCACTGCCGCTGCCCGCGGCCGCGTCCACCGCCCCCATGGAGGACATGGCCCGCCTAAAGTTGTCGTCGCGGAACTTGCCCTGCTCATCCACGATGAGGAAGATCCCGTCCGCGCCGCAGGGGTAGAGGTAGTGCTGGAGCGGGACCGGGCGGTAGTCGGTGTGGATGACGTGCACCCTCGTGCCGGGGTGGATGCTCTCCACCCAGTCGGCAAACTCGCGCGCGTTCGGGATGGTGGCGGAGAGAAAGACGTACTGGCACCCCTCCGGCAGCAGCGTGATCGTCTCCTCCCACACCACGCCCCGCGACTTGTCCCGCATGTAGTGGACCTCGTCGAAGATGACGCACCCCACCTCGCGCAGCATCTCGGTGCCTCTGTACAGCATGCTGCGCAGAATCTCCGTCGTCATGACGAGGCAGTCCGAGTCCGCCTTGATGGTGGTGTCGCCCGTCATGAGACCCACGGAGTCGAACTTCTCCGAGAACTCCCTAAACTTCTGGTTACTGAGCGCCTTGATGGGGGAGGTGTAGATGACCCGCCGCTTCTCCCGCAGCGCCTTGGCGATGGCGTAGAGGGCCACCGTCGTCTTCCCGGCGGAGGTGTGGGCGGAGACCAGCACGCTGTCGCCGTCCTCGAGGGCGTCGATGCTCTGCCGCTGGAAGGCGTCCAGCTCGTACGGGAACGTCATGGCCGGGGCCACCTCCCGCCGCGGCCGCTTCGCCGGCGGCTCATCGCTCCCCGACATTCGCCTCGCTCTTTCCGCCGCTGCTTCCTACTGGCGGCACGCCCCAGAACAAGAGGAAAAAAAAACAAAACAAAACAAAAAAAGAACAGACACGGGGCCACATGGATAAACAAATGAATAATTGGCGGGGAGGGCGAGGGGGGCATCACACACACACACACGCACGCAAATCCAGAGGGAAAGAGAGACAAAAAAAAAAAACCGGCGGTGGCTTCCAAAAGCGAGAAGGGGGCGCGTTAATCGATGTTACCAAGATTGCCCTGCAGCTTAAGAATGGCTGCGGCGTGGTCCTCCAGCGGGCCGCGAAGCGCCGCCGCAAAAACGTCCTGAGAGGACTTTTGTGCCACCGTGACGAGTCTCGAAATGACCTCCGGAGCGACGCGGCAGTTTGACTCCATCCAGACGATGCCGGCCGGGTCGTGCCCCTTCACCGCGATGCAGATCACCGGGCACTGGGAGCGCATCTCCTCCGTCGTGAGGTCCACCACCGCCACGGCGTTGATCAGGCCCACCGTCTGGGCATACACCACGTCCCGCATCGCCACACTCGCGTCGACGAGGGCCAGGCAGGCGGCGTTGATGCAGGCCGCCTTGTCGCTTCCGTCCTGCCGCAGTACCTCAACACAGACGTGGATCTGCGAGTTTGGGTACTGCGACAGCAGCACCACAGAGCGGGCCACCTCCACCACGGCGGCGCCGATCTCCTCCGACAGCCTGGACCTTCGCTGCGTCTCACGCCTCCGTTCGCCGGCGAAGGCGGCAATCGCCACCTCGCAGGTGAGGATGGCCTCGTTGTATTTGCCCTCCAGCCTATTCGTGACCTCGCGCGGGCCGTAGACGGTGGCGCACACGGTAGACAGGCCCGTCGTCACCGTGCAGCAGCCGTCGCACCCCAGCACCTTGCCGAACTCCAGCGTCATGCGCCTAGACTCCTGCGGTCGACGGCCGTCCAGCCGCAGCCCCGCAGGGTTGATGTACTCCTTCTTCTCAGACATGCACGCCGCCACCTCTCTCCTTCGCTCCCTCACACGCCCACAGCGCCGGCCGGAACTACCGACACCAAAATGGAAGGCGAAAAGAGAACGTAAACAACCCTCGCAAGCCCGGCTGCGCGGCAGGTAATAAAGTGGCAGTAGAGCTCCGCAGAAGGGCCGCCGTGACAGCTGAAGGCGTTGAGAACACGCACAGACACAGAGCGAGAGAGACAAACACGCACACACACAGAAAGAAGACTGAGAGGGGAAAAAAGGGGGGGGGGTGATGACTTCTCTGAGTCGCAGGCCATTAGTACCACCATCACATGGGAGGAGTGTATGTGCGCGTATGTGTGTGTGTGTGCGTGTGCGTGTGCAGGAGGAGTAGGAAGGGGAATAGCAACAACAACAACAACAACAACAACAAAACACACACACACGAGGGGGGCTCCTTGAAGAACTAGAGCCGCCATTCATATTGTCCTGCTGTTGTCAAGTAGCGGACCCACTTGGAGGGGGTGTAGCGAAGCAGCGGCTCCTCCACCCGCAGCTCCTTCACCGAAAACCCGCTGAGAGCGTGGGAGGGCGTGGTGAAGCTGATCTTGATGGGCGGCCGCGCCCACGCCTGCTCGGAGGCGGCGACGGTGGGGGCGAGCAGCACGATCTCCGCCGCGAGCAGCATCTCCTCGTCCTTCCGCGAGACGCTCGGCAGCGTCCAGATGACGGCGTGCTGAACGCCGTCAAACTTCGCGTGCCCGCGTGCGACGTTCACCTTTACATCAGCCGTGTTCTCGGGGCACGGGATGCGCACCTCCACCTCGTCGCAGCGCAGCCCCGCCGCGATCTCGCACTTGAGCCCAAACTCCACCTCGGTGCGCGTCTTCGACACCTCCGTGAAGCGGGTGTGCAGCACCTTCAGCGGGGGTGGGGCGGCGAGGGCGGCGCGGTACCGCATCAGCAAAAACACGCCGTCCAGCGGCACAAAGGCGAGGGTGCGATCCGCCTGCAGCGAGACACACGCGTGGTAGGAGGCGTCGTACTGGCCAACCTCGTCGCTCAGCACAAGACGGCACTCCGGCATGCCCGAGAGAAAGCTTTTCACCACCACGCGGCCGGCGATGTTGCTCTCCAGCACCTGACCGGTTTGCGAGACCAGCACGTACAACTCCTCCAAGACGTCTACAAATACTTCATTCACGCGGTACCAGAGGCCGCTGCTGCGCCACGGCGTTTTTCCCGTCAGCCGCGTCGTCACCCCCTCCGCCTCCGCCGGCCGCTTCATCCGTGCAGCGTCGATCCCTTTGGCGCCGACGAACGTCTGCAGCAGCCCCGGCTCCGTGGTCTGCGGGTAGCCGAAGTCCATCATCTCATCAATGAGCTCCAGCAGGGCCACAAAGTTGTCCTTCAGCGTCTCCTCCGTGATGTCCTCTAGGTACGCGTGGCACACCTCCAGCAGGTGAAGCATGAACTGGAAGGAGGCGAAGCAGTTGCCGTTTCCGTCCGACGCGAGGACCACGTACAGGTCCTGGAACCGCAGGTGCACGAAGCAGAGGCCGTCGACGATGTTGATCGGGCTGCGCTCCGCCATGCCGGTCGAGAGGAGCCGGTTGCGGAAGCTCTCGGCCAGGCCTCGCACGCTGAAGCCGTCGCGAAACGCGCGCGAGAGGACGACGTCGCCCCGCGAGTTGAGAAACAAGAGAACGCCAATCATTGCGCTAGCAGCAGGCAGGCGCGCAAGCGAACGAGGCAGCAAAAGGAGGAAACAAACGCACGGCGCAAAAAGAAGAAAGGGGGGAAAAAAAAGGAAGAAGAGCACGATTATTACAAGTGGACACAAATAAGAAGCAAAAAAAAAGGGAACACGCGCCGATTTCAGCTTCTGCAGACAACAATGGCGCCAGCGCAGAGTTCAACATTCCCTCAAACGCGCGGCGGCGCCCGGGCGGGAGAGGTCCGCAGTAAACAGAGACGGGAGATATAGAGCGAGCGAGCGCGCGCAGGCGGTGCTTACGTAGCCTCCTCCGCCTCACCGAATTCACCCGCGATATTGCGCTTGTACTCTGCCTTCATCTCGCGTCGCCGTTTTCGTCGCTCCAGCGCCTTGCGGTCCCGCACCTCGTCATACACGGAGACCCGCAGGTACCTGTCCTTGTCCACCTTGAAGTCGTTCAGCGCCTCAAGGGCGGCCGCCGCCGCCTCGCAGAGCTCGTAGACCACAATGGCGCACCCTTTCGTGGAGGCGTCATCGCCCAGGCGCAGCTGCTGGATGGCGCCGTAGCTCCCAAAGACTTTGTAGAGCTCCTCGCCGCGGCACAGCTTCGAGGGGATTCCCGTGATTAGAAGAATACGCTCATCCGGCATTAGTCTAACACAAAACAAAACAAACACACACACAACCCACAACAACAACAGCAACAAATGGGGTGTTCGTGCAACTCACTGCTAGAGAGCGATGGGGCGAGGAAAGGCATTACAAAACAAGAGTCCACAGATATGAGATGCACACACACACACACACCTGCATGCGCCTTGGTGTTGCAAAGGGAATGAAGAGCGCGTGTGTGTGGGGGTGTGGGGGTGTTAAAAAAGAAAAACGCGGACAACGCGTTCCCTTTTCAGTTGTTATTGTTTTTCCTCCTCTCCCTGTCGCACTCGCTTTCGTTATTCCCGTTGCCTTTTTTGTCACACCTCTTCCGTGCCCCCCCCCCAGTCTCTTTCCCGCCTCCAGATATACACAGAGTTGAGCGGGTGGAAGTGTCACGCGGCGCACTGCTGGGATAACTCTTGAATCGATGAAATGCATGTGACGGCAGTTCCCGGCACCTTCGCGCCCACAAGCGCGACGTTTGGAAGCACCGTGCTCAGGAATGACGCCTGTGCCTCGTTGTGCGTCACTACTACGGTGGGCTTGATCTGCCGGCAAAACGACTCATACCCCTTCGCTGTCTCGCAAAAGAGGATGCGGTGCCGCACAAGCCCTGGCACCTCCGCCAACATGGCGAGGACCGCGTCCTTCTCCTCCTTGCAATTAATGCGGCACATCACGTAGACTTCCATGTCGCGCGCGAGTGCCATGAGGGTCGCCTTGGCGTGCTCGCGCCACTGCCCGTGCTCCGCGAGCACCTCCCAGGCCACGCAGAGGCGGTGCCCCTTAAACTGCTGCTGGCGCATTTGCTGCACCAGCGACGGCTTGCCAGTCTTTGAACCGGGAACGCCCGGCGTCTCGCGTCTGCCGCCCCCCGGTGCATTTTTCATTAGAAAGACGTAAAACGAAACGACGCCCACCGCCGCCGCAAAGAAAAGCCACACATTTGAAGTCGTCATCGATTGCCAAAGGACCTCAAGAAGTGGCTTGCGGGCCATGCGTGTTGGGTGCTACCGGGGAGGGCGGTGGGGGGGGGGGAACGAGGAGCGCGGAAGCGGTTCAAACAAAAAGAAATGAAAAAAAAAAAAGGAAAACGATGCACGGGGAAGAAGGCCGTGCCAAAGGAAAAAAAAAGCACACACACACACACGCAAAAGAAAAGGGGCAAAGAGCAAAGAGGGTAAGAGGCAGAGCAGGAAGCAAAAAGAAAAAAAAGAGAATAATCATAATTAAGTGGGGAAAGGGGGAAAAGGAGGAGGAGGGGGGGGGCACTGATGAAAGCAGTCAAAGCATAAAGGGCAAAAGACAAAAAAAAAAAACACAAAAACTGCGCACCGTCCAATGGCTGTCCTGTGTTATCGCTAGGGTGGATCGCGCTAGGTCTCGTAGACGTAGACGCCCGGACTCCTGCCGCGTGAGAGCAGTCCCTTCTTCAGGAGGGTCTCCAAACCCTGCTTAATCTCAGTCATCGACGGCGCGAATCCGACCTTTTGAAGCGCCTCCGTCACACACCCGCACAACTGGAGGTGCTCCATTGTTTTCCTGCTCTTGATTATCTGCACAATCGCTGCCTGAATACTGATCGCGTGCGAGTTCTCCGAGTCACGCGGGGTTCGTGGCTCCAGGCAGTCCTCCGTCGCCCTGTTTCCACCTGCCGCACGTAGACGCAGTTTACTTTTGGGATGACTAAAAGCGTGATTAAACGCATACGCCGAAACGCCGTTGACGCGGGACACCGTTATCAAACCCAACTGCAAAAGAGATTCCAATTGAGGTAAAATGCTTCCCTCGGACAACTTCGCCTCACTAGATATTTGCTGCAGTGACAAGCCCTCACTGCCTGGACCCCCGTCTTGAAAGCAGAGAATTGTATTCACAAAGGACGTGGGTGCCACAAGCTCATACGTCTTCCCGTGATTCAGCGTAAACACCACCGTCCCTAGGGCGGTGTGAAAGGAAAGCCGCCTCCCATTATGACGTGGAAGGTAGTAGGAGCGGAATAGCCGCATGCAGTGCTGCATGCTCTCCGGAAGCTCGATCCCCGGGTCTGCGTAATCGGGCCAAACGCCAGTGGTGATGACGGTGGCGTGGAATTCGCATGGCAGCTCCGTCTTGGCGCCAAGCTGGCGAAGAAACCCATTGTTGAGGCCGACGCGCATGCGCACATCTTTCATCATAACATCAAAGTGATTTACAATGGGGTCGCCAGACTCGTCCCGGAGCCGGTCAATTAAAAAGTTTTCCTGCGTCAGTGGATCTTCAGGCTTGGAATTGATCAACCTGGAGGCAATCAGTAGTTTGAAGTTGTGCTCAAACGCGTCTCGTGACTTTAAAAGACGAAACAGACCAAAGACGTCGGCAGCAACGCGCTCCAGTTCAGCCTCGTTTATCTTGGCCCTGACCTTGGCATCGCAGTAGTAAGCAAGCTTCTCCGCAAACCAGGCGTTTTCGTTGAGGATCCCCGCAAGCGCTCGAGGCACCGGGGATTGACTGGCTTTGGAAACACCAGGCAAGTTTAAGACCAGATTTTCTAGCCTGTCCCTCAACGCCAAAAGCTTTTCCACGGCCACTACCGGGTCGGCCTGACTCACATCTTTTAACGCCTCAGTTCCCATCTTTATTGCGGCGCTCACGACCATCTCCAGATAACTTTCTGATTCGCCCACCTTCGCGAGAGCCGTCGCCAGGCGATGCACGCATGGAATATTCATTGCCTCCACCATCGCAGCACCACCTCCAGGTTGGCTGTAAAGAAGTCTTTCTTTGTTGTCTTTGATCAACAATATTCCAAGGCTCGTCTCAACACGCCGGCCAGTGTCTTCCCCAAGTATAGCCGAGACCTTGGCTTCGACGTCCTCAATGACGTGAAGCGCCCACCCAACATAGCCGTTGATGTCCAACTCACATTGTTTTATTAGCATTTCCTGTCGGTATTGCTCCGTCAAGACAGCAATGAGGGGCTTCTCTACTTGGGGTTCGTAGAGGACATCTCTGTACAATTGAGAAATCTTCAAGCCCAACGCCTTGAGAGCTCGTTTGGCATCTGCATCAGCAGACAGGCTGCCTCGAACGCACTTTACAAATGCTTCAGACAGCTGAGCATTTCGCAGCACGACATCACAAAAGAGGCGTTCCCCCATTTGTGGAATTGTTTGCCCGTGACACGTATAATTGTTGTTGAGATATAATAAGGTCTTGCCAATATAATTCACTGCCAAAGTAAACTCATCCCATTCCTTTTTCAAGCTTTGCAAAAATGTCTCCTCTGCGACTCTGAGCAGCCGGTCAGACAAGCCATTTACATGAGATGAAAGTATCGCCTCAAGGTTATCAAAGAGTACTCCGCTGCGTTGTTGTTGGCACATTTGAAATACGGAATGATGCACCTGCTGAAAGGAATATTGCGACATCGCCTTGTTGAGAATGGCAACAACTGTATCTCTGACAATTTTCCATCGCTCATCCACAATTACATCTGTATTTTGTGGAAACGAGGCTACAGCCATTTGGTTCTTTATTTTCCTGTGGCCCTTCCAACGCCGAAGAAGAAAGCAAATAACAATTTTTTTTAAAGAAAGGAAACCAAGTATTCCTTTTTTTTTGTGTGTGTATAGTTAATTATTATTTTTGCAAATAAAGCGAGAGAAAAAGAAGAACAAAAGAAAAAAAAATAAGCAAAAAGAAGAAAGCGTAAAAAAGTTGCTTTGAAACGCAGAAGCAAAACAGGAACGG